GTCAGAGTTCCCGCTGGGCAGGTGTGGTGTGGTGGGAAGAATATTGGACTGAGAGTCAGGAGTCAAGGGTACGAGTTCTGACTCTGCCACTCATCTCTGGGCTGCCCAGCCCCAGGGGACTCATTCAGAGAGACTACTGCATGAATGATGTCGCCTGGGACCCGTGCAGCAGTGTGCTCTCACTAGCCTGCTAGACTGGCCAGTTATCTTCCTTAACCTCAGTTATCTCATCCATACAATGGTGCTAATAATACTTGCTATCTTACAGGTTAATTGTGAGGAATGTGTGAAATGTGTGTGAAGGGCTTTGTGAATTGTCGGCACCACCCAAAAAAAGTGCCTGTGAATCTTACTTTTCAGAGATCTTTCATGAGTCTACAGGTTGGACTCTTCTGCATTGTCTTGTTCCTGACTCAACTGAGTGGAGCTCTGTTTAGGCCCAGACCTTCCCCATGGGTTCTCGGGGCGGACACGGTGTTGGAGTCATGGCTCCGCCTTAAACCAGCCTGGCTGGGAAGCAGGTCACTTGCACCCGAGAAAGAGAATGAACCTGCAGAGGGGAGCCAGAGGCTGAGAGGAAGCAGAACCTGGCACTGGGTTGTCAGAGGAGGCTTTGTGGGCCGGGCAGGGCTGGAGCTGGAGCCATCAGAGTCATCTCTCCTGTGTGCTCCAGGCAGCCCTGGGTGGGAATCCAAACTAAGGCTCTCTAAGCCCCAGTTTTTCCATCTGAAAAGCAGGGAATATTAAGAGCCTCACATGAGATTAAATGACCTAATGCAGGTGGAGCACCCAACAGTGTGGGAGGCACAGTGGGCACTCAGACAACAGGTGGTTGCTCCCCTCCTCCTTCTCTCGTGAGCACCTCGTGGCCCTCTGAGGACCAGGGCTGTGGCTTTCTGTGTCCCTGGATTTCCCCTGGGCCGAGTACAAAATCCTCACCTTAGTTCTTTATTTGATATTCACAACAACACTGTAAAGTCATCAGATATCCTGAAATAACATGTGATATCAACGTTGAGCGAAAAATGCCTTTTGTGTTGGGAGAAAGCTTGATATAGTGGAAAGAACACTCCACTAAGTAGCAGATTTGAAGACTTGGTGTTTCAATCGCACCAACAATTGCTGAATATTTTGTGCCAGACACCATGCTAAGCACTTTACAAAGATTATCTAGTTAACATCATGACAGCCCAAATGACACAGGACCTGTTATTAATTCCATTTCATGGAGGAGTGTTCTGAGGCTTAGAGAAGGTGGTGACTTGCTTCAGGCCACAGAGCCGGTGAGTTCACTCTTCATCATCACATACTGAGTATCTCCTGGGTGCCAAGTGCTTTGCAGGTATGTCTCATGGAATTTTCGCAACAACCCATTTCGCACATGGAGAGATTGAGGCCGAGGCTCTGGCAGAGTCAATAATTGCTGAGCTGGTAAGGGACAAAACTGAGATTCAGCCCTGGTCTGATGCCAAGGGCTATTTGTCTCCCCCACTGCTCTCCCGCCTTGCTTCTGGCTCAGCTAGAGGGGTCGCCAAAGGCAATGGAGGATGAAAGAGAATCGTAGTCAAAGAAACAGAGATAGTAGCTAGGAAGACTTATCAACTAAAGGCATGAGGTTCAAGGAGATTTGATAAATAGGGTTGCCTCTGGTAGAACTGGGAGGAACCTGGAGCACAGGAGAGGAGGCTCAGGACTAACCCTGGGAATGGCTGGGAGGCGGGAGGAGGCCTCCTTTTGTGTTGTGCCAGCTGCCTGGTTGTGAGGCCGGCTGACAGTTTGCAGGGGCTGTGCAGGGCTGGGCACCTCCATTGCTTCACTATCTGGGCCACGTCATTGTGAGCAGAATCTGTGATTAAACTAATTTGGCCGTGAAGTTGTCCCACACTCCCCCACCTTTTACCTGATAACCCCTCCAGTCATCCACGCTGACGTCTCGCCGCCCTGGATGGATTCTCAGGGCCTCCTCGCTCGCCCGGCTGGGGCTCAGCCAGTGCTCTGCGGCCGTCTGCCCAGCCTGCAAAGCTCTGTGTTGCTTTTGGCATGTTTAATAGCTTAATTTCTATTTTTCTGTGTGGAAATGCAGTTCATCGGCATTGAGGCAGCAGTGGGCGCTAAAATGGTTTCTGATTGCTATCTTGAACGTTAATATCCTAATACATTTTATCGGCAATGACCTGTCCCCCCTGCCGCCAGTTCTCACTCCCCTTCTGCGAAGATAGGCACGCTGCCTGCCTTCGGATAGGCTCGCAGCCCATCTCATTCCTTTGCAGTCTCCTCCCTGCTTTTCGCAGATAGCATTGTGCTTCGCCAGTGAAGTCCATGGTCGTGGGAAATCTCTGACTTGGAGGATATGAGAAAGCGTTTCATTTTGCCGGCGGGGTTTAATAGGGATGATCTAATCTCGAAAAGGCATACATTATTTAAATTCCATGCTTTCGGACAAGGGGGCCCCTGATATTTTTGAAATGTGGCAGGGACAGGATTCTGGATTGGCTCCCATCAGCAGAGCTGACTGTTGGTTTTCCTGTTTGTAATTCAGTGCAGGGCCCGGGTTATGCCTGTGGCTCCCGGGGGCGGGGGGTGGGGCACTAGTGTTGAGGGTGCTGGAGAACATTTTCTTTACCCAGAAAACTAAAATCACAGACTCTTGGGGTGGAAGGGACGGGGAGGGTCATATGGCAGTTTGTTATTTGATTCCCACCTGGATCCCAAGCTCAAGATCCCAGACTCAGGTGAAGGGCTCCTATGGGGCAACCTGAGAGCTCCCTCACTCCCTCACTCCCTCACCCCTTCACCCCTTCACTCCCTCACCCCCTCACTCCTTCACTCCCTCACCCCCTCACTCCCTCACCCCCTCATCCCCTCACTCCTTCACCCCCTCACCCCCTCACCCCTTCACCCCTTCACTCCCTCACTCCCTCACCCCCTCACCCCCTCACCCCCTCATCCCCTCATCCCCTCATCTCCTCATCCCCTCACTCCCTGCCCACAGAGTAACTGAAATGTCACCAGCGGCCTCACCTATGAAGCATTGCCCCGGTGATGAAAATGAAATTTTGAGAGAAACCTTAAGCACTCTCAACCACTAGAGGCTGAGTCTGGAGATAAAGTGGGGCCCATGAGGAGGTTCAGGGAACCGGGATCGTGAGTGGAGGGAGATGTTGAGGGGAGGGACCAGGAGAACATCAGTTCGAGGTGAGTTTTTTTCCTTCAGGGAGTGTGACGTTCGTGGTATGGCTGCTGCTTCTTCCCCTCCCGCCTGAATGTCCCGCCTGGATGTCACTTTAGTACAGATCACCTGCCTGCCTTCCTCCCGGGGGACCCGGGCTAAGAGGGGCGAATGATCCCAGAATAAGCTCTGGAAGTGCTGGACAGAGAGCCTTTTCCCACCTGCACACACGTTTACTGGGTGTCTCCTGACTAACAGACAGTGAGCTAGGCACCGGGGATGCAAGTATGATTCTGACACTCTGGCTAACAGAGGAGATAGACATATGGACAATGGATTACAGTTTATAGGCACCAGGGCTAAGATATATATGTGCACTGCGGGAATGCAAGTGAGGGGGCAATTAATTCTGACTGGGACTGTCTGGAAAGACTTTAGAGAGGAGGCGATAATTGACCTCAACCTTGAAGGAGGAGGCGGTGCTCACCAGACTGACCTTTCCTAAGTAGTGCATGCCAAATGAGTGGCTGGGCTTTGCTGGGGACAATAAGAAAGAAAAGGAGGGGTGGTTCCTGCCGTCAAGAAATTCACAGCTTATTGGGGAAACAAGCCTGGCAGTAAGAGCCAGTTAAAGCTCTGCATAGACAGATGGGACTGTGGTGGCGGGTGTAGGCTACCAGGGGTACTTGGTGATCTAGGGCTTCCGGAGTTACTTCTCTGTCTCGTGGAGAACAGTTTCTCTAAGGATAGTTCAGATCTTGCAAAGATGTCTTACCTACAGGAGGCCCAGCCCCTCTGACCTTTCTCCCAGCATGTTATTTCATCGGCCTGGTTCTGCATAGAAGTAGTTAGTCGGATTTGGAGGTGGAGAGGGAGGAAGTGGGGGCGGGTGGAGAAGGTGATGTTAAGACTTCAGTGATATTGGCTCTGTCTTTACAACCCTGGTGAAATCTGGGGTTTGTAAAACCACGTGTGCCAACACACAGGCTGAGCGCGGGGGTTCTTCCATCTCGCACGAGCACCACGCACATTCCCAGCCTTTGCTTGTGCTGTTTCTTCCACCTTGAATGCCTTCCCTTTCCTGCCTCCATGAAGTCTGCCCAGACTGCTCTTCTACACCGATTTCAGCTCCATACTCTGTCAGGTATTCTGTCCCTCATCATTAAACCGGGTTCAGCATTTTTCTGTTTTTTCACTCCCTGGTGAGATTGTAAACACCCGAGAGCAGGAATAGTGTCCTATGCTTCTCTTATTTCTCCTGTGAGCACTTCATGTGGTGCAAAGAGCATGGGATTCTCTAGACCGTCTTGGCAGAATCTCAGCATTGCCACCTACCTGGGAACTTTGAGCACAGTTTCCTTATCTGTAAAATGAGATAACACAGAGCCCCTTAACCTTGACACTGTTGGCATTTTGAATTGGATAATTCTTTGTTGCGGGAACTGTCCTACGTGTTGTAGGATGGTTAGCAGCATCGCTGGCCTCCGCCTATTAGCAGCACCCTCTCTGCAGTCATGACAATCAAGTGTTCCCTGTGTCAAGTATCCTTTGTGCCAGGTTTCCCTTGTGCAGCAAAATTGCTTCCCTTTGCGAACCACCGGGATGACACTACCTATGGGGTGTGTTTCAGACCTGCTGGTGCTGCATCCAGAACATAGTAGACGTGCCATAAATGCTGATTGTCATTCATTCCTAGTTCCCCTAGCACCTGACGCATTGTAGGCTGATGAATTGAGTGGAGCTGTGACTTTAGGTTTTAGCTGTTTGGGTGGAAATATCAGGTTGCTCCCACAAGGCACTAACAGGGTCACTGTGATTTTCTTAATTGCAGATTGATCTGGAGCCAGAAGGAAGAGTGTATGTGATCATCGATCTCTCGGGGTCATCGGGTGAAGGTAGGAGATTGTGACCTCTCATCCTTATTCTCTTCCATTGGCTCTTTGTCTTCCAATTTCTCCCTTCCCTCCTTGGCGGGGACATTTTATGGTGACATTTAATTAATTGACACACTTTAAAGGAAAAGGTTATTTTGAAGATTCTTACGCCTGTGTACCAAAAGGGACCAGCCATCTGTTAACTTTGGTGTAGCAGTGGGAAGATTTTTGACTTACCAAGTGAGGCCAATAACACGGGTGTTCCTGCACGCTGGTGTGTGAGGCAGCCTTCGATGGGGTGGCAGCCTCTCCCTGGAGGCTCGTGTGGGGTTTGTGTGTGTGGTGGGAAGGAAGTAAAACCAGCTGGTCTAACAGTATTCAGAAATGAAACAAATAAGGTGTCAAGTTTCAGAATCCTATTTCTTTAGAGCTTTTATAGAAATATTACTGCTTTTTATGCAGGCTAAAGCGTTACTCTTAAAGAGAAATAAGGGGGGGGGAGGGAATGTCTGCTCCCCACTGGCTGTAGGGTGTACATGTTCTCTGATAGTCAGATTTTCCTTCCTTCTCCTCCTTCTTCTTTTCTTTTTGGTGAGGAAGAGTGGTCCTGAGCTAACATCTGTGCCCACCTTCCTCTATTTTGTATGTGGGACGCCTACCACAGCCTGGCTTGATGAGTGGCATAGGTCTGTGCCCAGGATCCGAACCCGTGAACCCGGGCCACTGAAGCAGACCATGCTGAACTTAACCACTCTGCCACGGGGCCGGCCCCCCTTTTTTCTTCTTCTTATACCCTCTTCTCTCAATCCTGTCTTGGCCCACTTACGACCTTTAAAGGCTTGCAGGGTGGTGAGGACTGACTCGTCAGGGCAGAAGGGAAGACTAGACAATAACACCTTGTCCACATGGGAACAGGGGGATGGTGGCAGACTTGGACTCTAGAGAGGGTGGGAATTGGGACTGAAATTTAGTTATTGGGACCATCTTTCCTCTTCTCCTCTCTCTGGGGGCAGGGGGACAGAGCAGTTGGCTTTAACGTCATAGCAGAAAGATCGGAAAACCAAGACTGGTTCCTCTTGGCAATGAGAAAAGATGGGATTTAGGGGGCCACAAACTAAAAGAAAAACCAACGCAGCTCCCTCAGCTTCTGGCTGGAAGACTTGGGCCTTTTACAGCATGTCCCTAGAAGACTGGGGATCACAGCACTAAGTCACAGCCCCACACGGGCTCCCCTACTTTAGAGATGGAGCTCTAGTTCAAGGTTTAGTCTCGGGAGGAGAGATGATGTAAGCAAATTCAGAGGAGCTGGTCAAAGGATGCACTTGGCAGTGGTGCTTGATGATTTTTTGGGGGCTAATTTAGCACCAATTTCAACAGGTGTTCAGAATAATTCAATAATTGTGTGTATATTGGGCTCATAATAGAATTTGGTTCTCTTTTAATAGATCTCAATTACTTGATGGAGGTTTAAAACTTTAAACATCCTTCCAAAATTGGTCTCTTACATTTTCTGCACTTTGTTGCAATTACATTTTGGTGTTTCCAACTTACCTTCTCTGCTATCAGCTCTGAACAGCCTAGAATAGAATCTGTTGTAGAAGATTTGGGGGTTTAGCAATATTTAGTATGAAGTATTGAATATGTACAAAAGGGCCTAAAGAATAATAAAATGGGGACCAGTGTACCCACCACCCAGATTAAGAAATAAAGTACCCAGTAAGGTGAAGCCTTACATTGCTTCTAACATAGCACGTGATCCCAAATTCTCCAGACTTAAAAGTATTACAGTGGCCTCTTAATTGTAGACACTGGCGAAATATTTGATGGGGAAAATCAATCCCCTTTTTCCTTACATAATCTATGTGCAATGAGATAATTAATTAAATATGTATTTCCTGTGCCAAGATGCTGGGCAACCAATGGGAGGCGTGGATTATTGTTTTTCTTGGAAAAGATTAACGACTTACAGAATTATAGAAGATGTCCTTTTTAACATTAGAGGGAAAGGATAGAGAGAAATGAAGGAATAAATAAATCAGAAGCAATTGATTTTCTTTCTTCTTGCTTCTACAGCTTATTGCATGTGAGTGGCCAAAGCAATTTTCATTGGGCTGAATTTTTAGTCTATTTTTTTAAATCTCTTTCATCTAAAGAAAATAGAGTTTACTTCAGAAATGCTGACACATGCCAGACTTGGTAAAGTGCTAGCATGTGTTGCTCTGAAGCGAAGGAGAAATTTTTCTGCTCTTTTTTTGTTGCTGTTTCTGGATTTGGGCTTCTTGCTCTGGATGGTGGGAAGGACTTCCAGCAATCTCTTCCTAGAAGCTGATCTTCTTGTGCTCTGTTTGTGTTCTGCACATCTGTTCTTCCAGTCCTCCTGCTGGGACCATGAGGGCTCCTGGTCCAGAGCTGGATTCATTTTCAGAAGGGTTGGGAGGGCAAGCAGAGGGGCGGAGGTAACATTTATTACCTAGACCGCGTGAGACGGATCCGGGGTGAAACATGGTTGGCACAGCTAGACTGTGGATATTCACAGATTCTTGTCTAAGTCCCTTTTTTTAGTGACAATACCTAACTCTGTATTCCACAAAAGGGTGAAAAGAGAGGTGACATAAGCCATAGCTGACGTTTTCACCACTCTATTATTCTGCCATCAAGCGTCCCTTCAGGTCCCATATCCAATCCCATCAATGGAAAAAAATATTTTGATAAAAATTGCACAAACTGTACAACACATGCTAATACCAAAGAGCTCAGAGAAAAGTGTGTAGGGGAGACCGTGAATATACCTTCTTCTTCAGGGATGTGCCTAAGGATTCTTTTGCTTGCTAACACACTTAGAAAGCCTGGACGTTTACGTCTGCTAGAGTTGGAGCTAATGTGATTTCTAACTGTCTAATAAAATTCCACTGCTTGCATGTCCTGTGCAGTTCACCATAATGGGATTTGACTGGTGTGTGCTTTAGTTAAACCAGGCAACCTAACCCCAGATGTAAGGGGTCAGGCTGGATGACGGTTAAGGTCACTTCCGGTCAGGCAGTTTTGTCCTTTGGAATAATTTGAATTGACATCAGAGCTTAAGGCTGAGGGCTGGCTACTAACTGTAGCAGGTGGAAGGGGTTGAAAGAACCGGCCTCTTTTTGACAGGTTCCTCGTGAGTCACTTCACCTACATTATCCCAGGGAGCAAACCTCAGAATGCTCCTGTGTGATCCTCCAGGCTCAGGTGCCTCTCAAGGTTTTGCTTTGAGCATAAGTAATAACCACCTGGCTTCCTGGAAAACATGACACTACAGGCTCACCAGGTACTTGAGTCAGAGTATAATTAGCCCAGGTAACAGAAGCATAAACATCAATGTAATTCTCAAATGTGCAAACTATTGTTTCCTGCTGTGCACATCAGATAGCATTTCTTCCTTTGTTGTGATATAATTTGTATATTATTTCTATTCTTTATCATAATATGACAATGCACCGCAATTTGCAGGCTCCCAGAGGAGGGACAATTGGTCTGACCTGGGGATTTCTAGGCTCTTCTTCCTCTGCCTTCCATCCAGGTGTAGTATTCACCTGGGAGAGTTCTTCAGCATCTAAACAACAGCAGAAATAACAAGAAGCGGGTCTCGCTGGTATGTTCGGACCACTAAACTGTTTCTCCAGTAACATACAGAAGATACAAAATAATGTGAATGATTTTTGCAACATGTACATCACAAAGAATGCAGTTAAATCAGCTTCTGGAGTGATTGCATACAGCCACAGGCTGCAGAAAGTTTTCTGTCTCCTTCTTCTGGGACCGGCAGCAGAGAGAGTGGGAAGAACATAGGAGTCCATCGATCATGGATTTAAGTCCTGGCTCTGGTGCTTACTAGTTTAGAGCTTCAGATTTTCCCCCCATCATGATAGGGACCGTGCTAGGATTGCTGTCCGAGCAGTGCCTCAGGACAGTGCCCTTGCACACAGGAGATGCTCAGTCAGTGTCCTAAGGTCCTGAGACCTGAGGGCAGGGAGGTGGGTGTAGCTCTAACCCAGTGCCCATGGAGGAGCAGCAGGCACATTCAGAGAAACAGAGAAACAGCTCAGAGAGATAGTTGGAGGGCAGGTTTCTGACTCTGGGGCATGGCATGTTCAAAAGGTCCAAGAGCAGAGCAAGGTGACAGAGGCAATTTGTGGAATAATATATCTGGCAGGGGCTATGAGATAGATAGCTTTCTGCAGAGTTCAGACCTTGCCGTAGTTCTGCCCCACTGTCTGTCTCGTTTTCTTCCCCACCCTTCCCCCAATGACGTATTTCCCGGGATATCCTCTAGCTTGTTTGTGTCCTGTGGCCCTTACTGTCAGAACCTCTCCTTGTCAGAGCCTGGCCTTGTGCCTTCCCTGCTCAGTGCAGACTGAGAACATGTGGTCCCCTGCTCTAACCGGCTCCTGGGTGAAAGCCCCTGGTATATTTGAAGACAGTTATTAAATCTCTGTTCTTCAGGCTGAATCAATCAGATCCCTTAACCTTTCTGAGGGATAGTTAGAAATCTTAACTCATCCCTGTAGGTCTCTTCTGGACTTTTTTCAAGTTACACAGACAGACAGACACGATAAACCAGCTTTGCTTCATTCTGAAATGAGAACATGTGTGGAGCAAGTGCCTGACAGTGTCACCTCCATGTGGGAGATGGTGACATTGAGAGGTCAAGTGATGTGCCCAAGACCGAAAGGTTGATGATACGGCCTTGCTGGGTCCAGCGCCCAGGCTATAATCCAGTGCCTGCTCTAAATCGTGGCCTCCATAGTGAGTTTGCCAACATGGCGGAGACCTCTCCACTACTCTTTTTATTTTAGTTCTTTTCTTCAGAGAGCTTTCTAACAGAAATAGAAAGCTAAAATTCTTAGCTTTGAATCCAAAGGTGACCCAGAGAGTCCCTTTCATAAATAAGCAGATCTCTTTTCCACTCTCTAAGAAATGAAAACTTCCTTGGTCCCGGTTCAGGAATGTTCAGCTCCGTCTCAGGCTCTCTGTAAGATGGGTCC